CGTTCCATCTTTCAGGATAGCTTCCTCTGTATGATTTGGAGTGCTTCTTCGACCAGAACGTTGGTGTAAAGGCTTTCCACGGCGAAAATAATCAGTTGATCTTTCTGTGTGACTCCAATTACCCTCAGTAGTTCGAAAAAATGCTTTGAATTCTTCACAAAAGACGATGTTTTTCCTTGTGATAGTCGTATTATGGGGAGTTTTGAGTACCCGTAGGTAGGTAGGTAGGTTTTTTCAAAATCTGGTACAACTTCCTTTCAATTATTGTAGTATAGGGTCCCGAATGATCTCCGTGCATTATCCCTTCTGAAGAACAGAGGATCGAAGAGGTTCTAAACCACGGATCCAGTCACCATCAATCGAATACCAAAGGAATCTTCAAGACTCTATTAGACCGTGCTTTCGGGCTCTGTAATACGAAAAAAGGTCTGGAAATGGAACTGGACATCATCAAAAATGATCTTCAACGGAATGGTAAAAGCGATGGTGAAACAGACTTTGTCTAAAAGACAGCAGGAGCCTCGTAAGGAAGAGAAGCCGTCAAAACCAGTGCTTGCACTTCTCTACATCAGAGGATTATCGGAAAGATAAGAAGAATTCATTCCAAGTACAACATCAGAACGTGTTTCAGATCCGGAAACACTATCCGTAGCAGCCTCACGAAAACCAGGCCACCAAACGCGGACTGCAATTCCAAGAATTGCATTAAACGGATATCCTGTGAGTGCGGAAATTCCTATATGGGTGAAACTAAGAGGTCATTGTATGTTCGCATTGCCGAGCACAAGAAACACACACAGCGAGGGGAAACCAACAAATCAGGAATAGCAGAGCATATTTGGAACCATCAAAATAACATCGAGTGGTCCCAAGCTGAGATCATACACAAAGAGGAACATTGGCTTAGGAGGAAATTCAAAGAAGCCGCAGACATGTTGTCTAACAATGTATTCAGCCAAGCTAGCATAAAGACACGCAACATATGGAAACCCATAATCAAGCGAAAAATGGCCAACTCCCGCCAAACGGTCATCTCCCACTAAACCAGTGAAGCGGAAAAAGGAAAGCTGAGATAACTGAAAGTACTCGAATGACCCATATATAGTCATATCTCGGAGGAATTAGTCCAGTCATCACCCGAAAATGATTGTAAATACTAACAATCGAAACGTCCTGAAGTAACTTGTATTGGAATCTCTCAACTTTTTATTTTTTGTTCAATTGTTCTAATTTTACTAGTATTTCATTGCACTATTATTTCATTTCAGGTTTTTTGCCTAATACAATTGTTATTTTCAGCTATTCATTTTTAATTCTTTCAGGGATTTAAAATCATTTTATATATCAGACAATGGAAGTCCGAACTAATGAAATTCACTATTTATGCAGTTTCGATTTGCTATGATACGTTCCGACATTAACTCACAAAACTACATTCTTTTGTCAGAGTTATCTTTTTTGATTCATGTAATATCTCCAATTCATAGGGGTGAAACTTACATTTTCTGAGGTATTTCTTGACGGTGGTTTTGAGAAATCATTTTTACTAGCAACTGTTGTCATGAATTACTGGTTATTCATGAACTACAGTCGCAACTATTCATCCCTGTTTCTCGTCCAAAAATAGATAGTTTTCCAGCTCATCTAGCTCTAGCTACACTTCCATTTGTTTGAAGTTTCCCAACCAATTATCGGATTATTAGGAAATCTTCCATTGAACAACCTTTCTGCCTCATACAAATAACGGCCAGTCTCGGGGTAAACGAGTATTGCTTCTGTTTTTTCCTGTAAAGATCTGGTACGAACCATTTTTGAAAATTCAATCGGTATGAAATGAAGCGTATTCTCAGCATCAAGAGATATGCAGTTTCGATTTGCTATGATACGTTCCGACATTAACTCACAAAACTACATTCTTTTGTCAGAGTTATCTTTTTTGATTCATGTAATATCTCCAATTCATAGGGGTGAAACTTACATTTTCTGAGGTATTTCTTGACGGTGGTTTTGAGAAATCATTTTTACTAGCAACTGTTGTCATGAATTACAGGTTATTTATGCACTACAGACGCAACTATTCATCCCTGTTTCTCGTCCAAAAATAGATAGTTTTCCAGCTCATCTAGCTCTAGCTACACTTCCATTTGTTTGTAGTTTCCCAACCAATTATCGGATTATTAGAAAATCTTCCATTGAACAACCTTTCTGCCTCGGCCAGTCTCGGCGTAAACAAGTATTGCTTCTGTTTTTTCCTCTAAAGATCTGGTGCGAATCATTTTTGAAAATTCAATCGGTATGAAATGAAGCGTATTCTCAGCATCAAGAGGGGAATCTGTCAAGTTAATACAATACTCTATATTACTAGGGTAATATGATTTGGATTCTTATCTAGATAACACATGGGCTGAAAAATCCCGGGCCTAAGAAATAAAACGCATTATTTTTTCTTCAAAATTGGCTTCATTAATCAACGTAATCTCCATCAAGAGCCACTCCAGTGCCGCTCTAACATTTCAATACCACTTCTGTAGAACGATTTATCTTCTGCCTCAAAATAGGAGGCCAATTTTGTTCAAGCAATAATCTCTTCAATCTAGCAAAATTTCTTACCGATGAGCATTTGTTTTGGGGTCTGCGAACCTCCAGAAGTCGCTGGATGGAACATACTCTTTCCTTCGCCATATGTGGTCGTTTCTTTGCAATTTTGGCTTCCAAACGCTCCGCTGTTGATGGTATTTTTCTTTTCAAGATAATCGATGGAGATTACACCACGCACATCCCAAAATACCGAAGCCACAACCTTTTCAGCCAATTTTTGTGCTTTCAGGCGCTTTGGAATAAGTTCACCAGTTACTCTCCACTCAGATAACGATCGTTTTGGTTCCGAAGTGAAGTGATGGATCCATGTTTCATCCATTGTCACATATCGACGCAAAAATTCCTGTTTGTGATGTTTGAACATGGTCAACACTGATCAAAATCATCAAGGCGTTCTTGTTTTTAGTCAACAGCTCGCGCGGCACCCACTTTGAACAGAGCTTTCTCATAGTCAAATTCTCATGCAGTATAAAGTCAACACGATTTTTTGATATCTTCACAATGTCAGCTAACTCACGTAACTCCACTTTTTGATCATTCAAAACGATTTTGTGGACTTTTTTCATATTTTCTGATGTTACTGCCTCATTTGAACGTCCACTGCGTTCTGCAACATCAGTGTCTCTACGACCACGTTTGAAGTCAGCAAACAAACGTTTATTTGTTATTTCTGATGGAGCGGAGTCCTTATAACACTTTTCAAGGCATTGCTTAGCTTGAGCGGTATTTTCTCCCATCAAGATGCAGTGTAAAATTGAAAAACGATATTATTTTTGATCCATTGTTTTAAAAATAACAAAAGTAGTGTTACTCTTAGCACAATAACTAACAAACTTGTGGGTAGAATATCATGAAGTTTCAACAGATTTCTTTTGAAGGTTAGTACTAACTGAAAAAGCGGTGAATGCCATATATGTGTTAGGCTCGAGACTTTTCAGCCCATGTAGTATAGATAGTCTGAAAAGTTCGTAGACCACCATGCAGATGGCGCTATGATTTTTAGTTAGGCCTAATCTTCAAAAGACACGTGTTCAAATTTGACAGCTGTCTATTAAATTGTAGCAGTGTAGCAGTGAAGCAACATTATTCGGACCTTGCAACAGGAAAATCAACCGTTGAAAGGTGGTAAGTCTAAACTGGGTGGAATGAGAAATGAGAACAATGCACGCAGTATATGCACCAAAGAGGCTGTTACCGATGAAAACATCAACAAAGTCCAGAAAATAATTTTGGATGACCGCGAAGTAAGGTTGATCTAGATAACTGAGGCTCTAAAGATATCAAAGGAACGTATTGAACATATTGTTGTAAATCATGCCCTGCAGAAAGTAACGCCGTTCGCCGCTGGTAGCCATAATTCAATTGTGATGTGACCAAGATCACGCGTAACTCGACGGCCGTTCCAGACATGGCGTTGCATCGAGAATAATGCTCCCGATGTTTCGCGACTGTTCGATGTTTGCGCCTCTTCAATAGAATTCCGAAGAATTTTCCAGCGCCTTCGATTGACAAATATAAGTGCCCTCCACTTGCCTATTAACACAGTCAAGTGGTAGTCACAGTGCGGAGCGATCTAATAAGGCGATAGACACTTGAATAATAGTTGAAGTTTGAATTAAAGTGTTTTGTTATGATGAAAGTGAAATAAAGTAGAGTTTGATTATTGTTCAGTGTAATCAATTATTGTTGAACCCACGAGGAGAAACGTAACAATCATGCATGAATATTTGGGTATGCGGAAGCTCTGTTCGAAGTGGATGCCACCTGAGTTCACAACCAACCACAAACAACAACGAATTGACGATTCCGAGCAAAGTTCTAAACTGTTTCATCATAAAAAATTATAATTCATGTGTCGATATGTGACAATGAATAAAATATGGCTCCATCAATTCACTCCAGAATCAAAATGACCGTCATCTGAGTGGACTGCACGCGGTCAACTGACTCCAAAGCATGCAAAATCGTAACTGTCGGCTGGCAAGGTTATGGTGTCCATATTCTGTGATGATCATGGTATGATATTCATTGACAAAAAATATAATGATACTGACAAGGAAAAAAATTTACTGTTTCATCAAAATAATGCACCGTATCTCAAATCAATGAATGGGCTTCAAATAGCTCACGCATCCACCGTTTTCTTCAGATTTGCCCCTCAGCGACTTTTTCCTGTTTTCAAACCTTGAGAGAATACTCGCTGAGAAAATTTTTGACGCCAATGAAGGGGTAATCGTCAAAACTAAGGCCTATTTCGAGGCTGAAGACAAATCGTACTATAAAAATGGTATCAAAGGATTAAAAAGTGTTGAAAATGATTCATTTACCTATAAATTTTGTCCGATTTTTGATATCTGGCCCCATTAAAAGGTCGAGAGTGTATATAGTCATGATTGTTATAGAGTAATCCAGTATTGAAAATACATACCGGACAAATTCGTGGACATCCGCTCAAAACAGAAAATGGAAAATCATATTATGCGTTTCAAGAAATTCCTTATGCTGCTCCTCCCGTTGGAGAACTCAGATTTCAGGTGAGAAGTAACGTAAGAAGTTTTAGTTTTTACCACTTGATTATTTTAGGAAGCCATTCAACCAGAACCCTGGAGTGGTATTTTAGATACGACCAAAAATACAAAAGTTTGTTATCAGAAAAAACCGCCATTGGATGACCAAACACCAGATCCGAGAGAAAATGAAGACTGTCTATATTTGAACGTTTTCACTTCCAAAGTAAGTGCTGCATTTGAATAAAGAGGGTGTGTGGTGAGAAATTTTTTACCCATTGTACTATATTATCTTCTACTATATGAACTGAGAGTGACATAATCCTGCTCTTTCGACGATCAAAAGTTTGCTGCCGACTTGCGAGCTGGTATGCTCTTGACTATCAAGGTTGGAAAGGGCTAAAAAAATTAGTATAAAAACATTTTTATGGTTGACGGTTCTATTGAAAAAAAAGATAATAATGATGTAGATAATGTACTAAAAACTAAAATAATTCAGAAGGTTCTAGGTAGCAGTCATCACACCACTTTTCTCAGCAATCAACGGTATTGATCAGATACAAAAACAATAAAATCGCTGGGCGTAACGTAACCTGAGTAAATTTGTAAATACTACGCCCAAGGATTTTATTATTTTTTATCTGATCAATACTGTAGATGGCTGGAGAGAGTGGCGTGATGACTGTTACCTAGGACTGTGTTTTCAACATCATTATCTTCGTTTTCAATGAAACCGTTCAACATTATAATTTTTAGTTACTTATTTCATTTTCAAGTTTTTAGTTTTTGATTCCGTTACTCATTTCTTCTCATTCTATTAAAGCCCTGTCATTTGATACTCATATTGAGGTAGTTGTGGAAAATATGTAATCCGCCATTTTGTACCTGCGGTCATCTTGAATTTGCATCTTTTTCAAAGTGTAGGGGAGACCGGGGTTGGTTGCGCACAGGGGTTGGTTGGTACATTCGTAAAATTCCGGAATCCGTTCGGTTAACACCAGCGTTGCTCGCATCTATCGGAAGGTGTTTGAATACGCGCCAGTTGAAGACAGTTATCGTTGATGTGTGGGCGTTTGTTTTTAGTTTTACTTGGTACACGTGGTTTTTTCACCCGTAAGTAAATATTTATGAGTTCGAAATATTTGTAATATCAGTTTTATTGCTTTTTCGATAACAACAAAGTATATATTAAGAAAATTTGCACTTTTGTCAATACTTACCTACTAGCTGGCTTTTTTAGGAAACCTTCATTTAAATGCGTACGTTTGAAAGAAAATCGGGAAGAGGCAAACACCCCCAAATATTATGCTGAGGGCGGTCAGAGCCGTAAAATTGGAACGGCAATCTCTAAGATCAGCTGCCAGTGACTTCGAAATTCCATTCAACACAGAGAAATGCCTTTAACAGTTGGACACTTCGAAAATAGACAGGTAGGTTTTTTAAAAAATATACTTGTAAAATTTTTGGTTTTAGATTTTCACCGAGCTTCAAGAGTCCAATCTCACAGATTACATAAAAAAGCTGCCGATATTAACTACGTTCTTACGCCCAAAGAAGAGAAAAGATTAGCTTATTTATATGCAACTTCTTTGCACCTGAAGGTTCCAAATAGCAGGAAGAAAAATGAGATGGCAGGCCCCGACTGGTTTACATCATTTTTAAAGCGAAATGCTGGATTGGCTATAAGGACATCTGAAGTTACCAGTTTGTCTAGAGCCACGAGCTTCAATAAAACAAATGTAGACAGATTTTTTTCAGCAATCTAGAAATGGTTCTTAGAAGGTATAACTTTAGTCCTGTGAACATCTGGAATATGCACGAAACAGGGATTACTACAGTCCAGAGACCTGACCAAAATGTGGGTAGACGTGGTGTTAAACAAGTGGGAAGAGTTACTTCGGCAGAACGCGGTACGCTTGTAACTTTGGCATGTGCTGTTTCTGCTGCTGGAAATGCTGTGCCACCTTCTTTCATATTTCCTCGTGTTCATTTCAAGCCCCATTTTCTCAAAGATGCCTCGCCTGGAATCGATGGAAGTACCCATCTATCAAGCTGGATGAAAGAAGTTCATTTTATACAATATATCCAGTATTTTATTCAATACTCCAAGGCGTCTAAAGAAAACCCTCTCGTGCTTTTGATAGACAACCACGATTCGCATTTATCTTCCGAAGCACTAAACATCTGCAAAGATTACGGCGTAACAGTGTTATCCTTTTCGCCTCACTGTAGACATTAGCTCCAACCTCTGGATCGCAGTGTGTATGGACTGTTAAAGAAGTGTGTCAATAGTGCTTGTGATTCTTGGATGACTACAGCTGGATTCCAGGTTTCCGGAATGTATCAATTTAATATACGGACAGTGAATGTATGGCTGCTTATGTTACAGATAGACCAGATCCTGAACAAGATTTGCGAGATATTGAGAAAAACGTAAATCCTTGTGAAGTATTGGGAGTTAAAGCGAATCTAAAGAATAGGGTTAGACTGTCCTACCGTTCACCCTGTCTTTGAGATATTCAACTGACATACAAATATCACGAAATTCCACTTATTATCTTCAATAACTCAAATAAAACGGAATATCCCAAATTTCCTTTAGTTCTCTAATATTCTACTCCAATTCGTTACAAAAATTGTAGAAACACATAGACTGGAGTAGAATCACGTATTTCTCACATTATTGCCACGAATAACTCAAAAACACAAAATTTCTCAAATTTCCTTCAATGTTGTGTTATTCATCTCAAATTTATTTAGAATATTGTAGAAACTTTGTAAGAGTGGATTTGTACAATTATATTATGATACAGGTATATACAGAGATTTGTATTTTTCACATAATTCACACAAATAACCCAAATATTAGGAAACTTTATAACTTTCCTTCAATTACCATATAATCCAGTTCATTACAAATATTTTAGATGCACATAAAATACAGTAGAATCACGTATTTGAAGTTATTGTTAGGTTGTCTCAAATTACTAGCTTCCTCAGAGGTTTATACAAGTTTTGAGTTTAAAATCAATGTATTCAATTATATAACATCATTTTTTTGATCTGAAATCATGAATTACTCACAATGAGAATTGCATTCATTCACTCCAAGTTTGTGATGAATATTGATTACTTTGAATGGAAAGAATTATATTACTGATCTGAATCTATGAATTTTTCATAGTGAAACTTTTTCATTCTCTCCTCAACAAAATCATTTGTTTGGATGAAAATATGAGATGAAATCATATATTCCCAATCTGATTCCATAAGATACTCTCAATGAGACTTCCATTCATTCTTTCTATGAAAAACATTTTTCGCAGTAAAATGTTACATTTACTTGATCAGAAAAACCAGTTGCTCCAATCAAACATTTCTCACTTTCAAAGAATAATTTCATATTCTTGATTTGAAATGAATCCAAATTGCTTGGGTAAAATCTATTTTTCACTTTGAATTTCACATTTTCATTGTTTTCTCAGGTGGAGAAATACATTTTCAGAGCTAGAATCATAGCGTTAATCTTGGGAAACAAGATTTCTGCAGCTGACTCACACTTTTGCTCTCTTCTTTTATTATACAGCATCAGAATTCATTTGTTTTTCACGATGGTCTGTGGATCTGAATTATGTAATAGCCATACGAAGTTTTGGTCATCTCGAAGTTCTGCTGGATTAAGGTAAAAATCATTCACAATATTAATAGATAATGATAATATCAAGTATAAGTACCTACTATTTTGAGGAACTCATCTTCAACTGTATCTGTCGTTTCTTTTTCGGGAATATTTTCAGTGGAATTTTATATATAATGTTTCTGCATTTATCCACCAATCGTCCAATGGCTAGTGCTTGGCGTCTGGATATCACTGAATTCATTGATAATTTGGATCCACTCGTGAGGTTTAGGACTTGTATTGATTATATTTTCCGATATACTTTCTTTCTGAAAGAAAAAAACCACTTTCACATCATAATACTTCAAACCCGAATTCAACTTACTTGAGAAACAATGTAGTCATGTACCTTTTTTAATCATAATGCGCTGCCCTATGAGAGGAACTAATTCTTTTAAATATTCCTCAGTAAGGAAAGGTAAATCCTCAACTGTTACATTGTTATCTGAAATAATATAGTATTGAGTGACAGTTATGTGAAATATGAGTAAGCTTCAATAATCGAGTAGATTATTGATTTTTCTGAAAATCTTGGTCTTCTTGAAATATGTGCAACTCAAGCTAGTTTGTGAATTATTGGGAAATATTTTGTCCTCCGTATCCATCGAAAAAATCTAAAACTACTGCGTATTTGATTCATCTCGAACATCAACTGCAAAGGAGGTTCTTGAAGTCTACTTGTTCATGACCTAGTAGATTATATTTTTCATTGCATATAGTAGTTCCGTCATCAGTAATCATGTAAACTAATCCTGAAATCGTATAAAGTCAACTTCTACTGTAAAATAATGAAAAGCCGAATTCCTGTGTGATTTTTTGATTTTAAAAGTCGGAAAACATAAGTATGGATTTCTGCATGAAATAAAGAATCCCTTAAGATACTTCCAGAAAAATTTTCAGAAAAATAACACTGCCACATCATCTCACAATCTCAGAGCACAAAATGCATCCTGAAAATGAGTTGCAAATTCCTGAAATTTGGAGAAATAAATGTAGGGGAATGAAGAAATAAAATTTTTAAAAAGGGAAAGATAAACTTTTAAAACCCTATGAGAGGAACTAATTCTTTTAAATATTCCTCAGTAAGGAAAGGTAAATCCTCAACTGTTACATTGTTATCTGAAATAATATAGTATTAATAAGTGACAGTTATGTGAAATATAAGTAAGCTTCAATTATTGAGTAGATTATTGATTTTTCTGAAAATCTTGGTCTTCTTGAAATATGTGCATCTCAAGCTAGTTTGTGAATTATTGGGAAATATTTTGTCCTCCGTATCCCTCGAAAAAATCTAAAAACCACTGTGTATTTGATTCATCTCGAACATCAACTGCAAAGGAGGTTCTTGAAGTCTACTTGTTCATGATATATTTTTCATTGCATATAGTAGTTCCGTCATCAGTAATCATGTAAACTAATCCAGAAATCGTATAAAGTCAACTTCTACTGTAAAATAATGAAAAGCCAAATTCCTGTGTGATTTTTTGATTTTAAAAGTCGGAAAACATAAGTACGGATTTCCGAATGAAATAAAGAATCCCTTAAGATACTTCCAGAAAAATTTTCAGAAAAATAACACTGCCACATCATCTCACAATCTCAGAGCACAAAATGCATCCTGAAAATGAGTTGCAAATTCCTGAAATTTTGAGAAATAAATGTAGGGGAATGAAGAAATGAAATTTTTAAAAAGGGAAAGATAAACTTTTAAAGTCATACCTACAATATCTCGAAAATATAATATCTTCCGAGATATTTTCAAAAGGAACTTCTTGTGATAGGTACTTAACGAGGAATTTTGATATGGTTTCATCATCAGCCTTCCACAAATTCAGGAGTTGTTGGATATCCATGTTGACATTTTCATAACACAACACAATTCACTCAGTTCATTCAGTAATATAGTGGCGATTAGGAACGGCACAGCAAAAAAAGAAAACCGGCTCTAACAGCGGCGGCGTCCGCCTAATGCCTCAATGTGTCTTAACTCTAGACTGGATTTGGAACTGTGGCGTGGCAGGACTGGACGAAGGTCCAGTCGTTGCAAGTGTATTTTTCATAGCGAGCCTATTGGAAATTCAAAAGAAGTGATATGTCCTCTGATAGCTGAATTATTAATATGAAGTTATCCCTGAGAGTTCCTTTTATATTGTTGTTGCCATTGCCAAATGTGTACATCATGAGTTGAATAATTCCCTATAGTTGAATTTATTATAGGAATTTGATGAATTAGCTTTCAATTGAATCGGTTTGAAGAAACAAATATTTTGATAAAACTGCAAATTCAGAAGAGGAATAAAATACCTTGAATATGAATAAAACTACAACAATAACTTGTCATTCAAAATACTTAACTATAGGTACCTCATAGGTTCAATCTCTGCCGCTGCCATCATCTTAATTTGAATTCCCAATTGCGTAAATTTTGAAATGAGATCTTATTATATAATATAACGTGCTTTTTTATGCGTTACTGCAGTTTTGTTGAGATTTGGTACACCTTGAAGTTTGTCGAAATAACCATTTCAAGTACACATAAAATTAATTCGAAAGAATTATTGTCTGCTTTCTAACCTATACCTATTAGGTATAGGTATCAGGTACTAAAAATATTATTCATATATATTACAGACCTAGCTGCTTATTCTTGTTTCCCAATGTATAGAGCAGATTGTAACATAAGGTGCCGACACCCTTCAGTCAACCTTTTTTTTTTCAACTTGGCCTTTTTGCCTTTCCTGTGAATGTATTAAAATAAATCGGTCATTATGGCATCATCGCCTAGCTACTAATTCTCAAGAAATCAGCATTATTAAAATGAGAAAATGATAATGCCAAATGGTTATGGTGATTCACTTACTACAATAATGTTTCACTTCGAAAATGAAGA